ACAAAACGAAAGTGGATGATAACCTTCACTGAAGTTGATTATAATTGGCAGAAGTCTCTCTCGAAGTCTGTTGCATGTTTTCGAGGACATCTATTGTAGATCCGCTTCACATGGAACAAAATCTAGATTGCAAAGGCATTTGTTCCATATATGAATGGGGAACTTTTGAAAGGAGATACTAAAAGTGTAACTCCCTAGAAGTTTATCTTCTTGTGTTGTGAATCATGTCGTCTTTCCTTATTCTACTATTGCAGAGCAAAATTGTACAACTTCCTAGTTCATTTACAAAGTCAATATACTATGTATACCAGCTACTCAATTTACGGTGTATTATCCTGTCAGAATAGCACGGACAGCTAGCAAAGAAAAAGAATAGAAGACTTCAAAGAAATAGAAGCTTTTACACATGTATTTTCCACCTTAATTGGGTCTTTTTCTGGGGAAAATGTGAATTAATATGAATTTACAGTATTCATGTATTCTGTTGTGCTTTTTCTGACTAGACTTAATGCATACTTTTGATTGGTTGTCGTTCGTACAGTCTTCTCCAAATCTCATGTCATACTTCTCATTTGTTTTGCCTCTATTTATGTATGAATGTACTGTTTCTTCCTTCTGGCGAATGTCGTTAGTGTTGCTTTATATATTTCCTCATACTGTTATTAACTTGAGCATATATGTTTCGCCTTGATCATCATGCATCTCGTATAGCTATGTTCCCTCATTTTCATCATGCATCATGCATCATCTATACCTATGTTCCCTCATTTTCACTTGCCCCTTTGGCCTCTTAAGGTTCACTGATTATATACACTGTATTGCTTTCTCTTAACGGCGAAATAACAGTTATATAACATGTGGGATTTGACAAGAAATGAAAATGTTGACTTTTTGCTATAAGTTGGTTTCCTGGGTCTGCGAGACTCATAGTAGCTTCAAGCAAGGATGGAGACTCATTTTTTCCTGAGACACCATGTTTCCTACCTGCTGAAGTAGACCTTTTAATGCTTTTAATCTCCTGTTTGGTCCCTTAAATCCTTGTTCTCTACTGGCCTCAAAAGTAAATTGTGCAAGGCCACAGACTGCCTAGTTTTTGTTATATTTCCACTCAATATTCTATTGAAATATTCTATTGAACCTCAAATTTTGGAAAAGTAAATAAGCATTTATTATTATGCATATATTTTATGTCGATCAGCTGCTGCTAATGCCACCACATGTTTCTTATCTGTTTGCTGCTAGTTACATGAATCCTTCATTGTTTGTTCCTATTTGGTTTAAATCCTCCAAATGTTCTTCAAAATCCTCTTTCCAACTGCTGAAAACCTGGGAAACAAAACATATAATTGATGAATGATGAGCAAGTAATGTAGCTGTGGCGAGTCCTCTGTGAAGAATTACACTTATGTGTGCTGGAGCAAGGCTTGCACTTCCTATGTCCTTGACCATATATTCAAGTGTTTCATCCAAATTTGACCACACAATTTGCGTTATATTTGTGATTTATATTATGATGCTTGTATTAGCTGGCTTCTGTCAGTAGAAATTTTGTTAATAAACTTTTTGCGTCTTAACACAGTCATCAGATGGTGCAGCTATTTTAAGTAACATCTTGTTTCATGTGAAAGACCATCATGTCCTTCATTGATAGCAATTCCATAGCACAGCTTGGAAATATTATTTCCAATCCATTTGTGATCATATCAACCCATTCTGCTAGAGTTACAATTTAGAGTTGCAAAGACTTCCAACATATAAATTATTGTGAATCAAGGCTCTATAGTAATTAATTTTGGAAAATGTTATTATTTGAATTTTGAAAATAGTGGACCTAATGCACACACGCAAATTATCTCTGCTTCTTTCTCTCACATGGGACAGAAATAAATGCTAGAAATCTGTAGATGCCATGTATTTTTTCTGATTGGCCCAGGTTCATATCCCATTAGGCTTCAAAAGCATTAAAAGGTAGGGTTAATTCCGGATAGATCCCCCGTAATTCTCTTGGTGTGAATAGACCCCCTTAAACAATGTTATAGGAAGCAATAGGTGCCGCTGGGCAAGTAGGTGGAGCTTAGGCAGATTTCCTTTTTGTTTAAGTAATGGTGGAGGAGGTTTTGCTGAAGGTCGAAGGAGGAAGCGAGGGTGTTCATAGTCGGTGGAGGAGGCCATAAGAGGTCGTAGGATATGGAGATGGCAGCAGGGGGAACCATGACTGAGACATAAGGTGGTGCGGTCCGTGTAAGTGGCCTACGCTCCCTTTGGCACTCGCAAGTCCTAGGGGTGCGGCCTAGGCACTGCTTAGGCCTAGGCGGGTTGCTATACTGCTCTTAAAAAATTTGCCTTGTGCGGTTGTACCATTTGCCCAAGTGTGGATAAACCCTCTCGCCACGTTTGGTGTGTGAGAATGAAGTGCAATTTTAACTTCTTATTCATGCTTACTAAACATGATGTGTTATTGGATGCTAGAAATGTCATTCTCACTTCTCATTAATTCTCACCTAATGTCTCAGTGAGTTATCAAGGAATTAATATTCCCACTTAAATGAGAATAAAAAATAATAAATTAAATTTCGGATATACCCTTTTTAAAGATATTCCCACTTGATTCTCTACTTGCATCCTAATATGAGAATGGGAATGAACATTCCATTCCTAAATTAATTCCATTTCATTCCTACCTCTATTCCATTCTCACTTGACTTCTTTCTTGCGTACCAAACAAGGAGTCTGAGTGAATTTTTATTTACTCTTAAAAGAGTAAAGGAAGTTCAGTCAGGGGGTCTATCCACACAAATGGAACTATATTTGCACAAATAGAACGACAGGGGTAAGTACAGGGGGCCTGTCTGCAATTAACCTGGAAAGTACTTGCAATATTTGTAATAGATGTGAAAGTTTCACAATTAATCTGACTTGTCTGTTCCATCATGAGTCCAACTGTAACGTTAGAGTACGCAAGTGGGTTTTGCTCTAGGTCTTCTTCCATACCTTTCAGGTTCCTTATCCAGCCAGACTGTACCTTCTCACTTCATAACTTCCCCTAATGCAGAGAGAGGGCTAATTGCTTCCTCTTCAAGTAAAAAAGTTATTTCTCTCTGAATGCACTGGTAAAGTGGGGATACTACTACTCTTCAGTCTGGCTTTACCCTGAATGCTAGTTCCTTGCATTGAGAAAGGTTTTAGGTAGGGGCATAAAGATTGTGACTTAGCGAGTTAATGTGAATCAGTTCGTCTCTCCTCTGGTGTGTGAATAATTCATGAGCTTCTCAAGTTCACAATTTTTTACTAGGTTCTGGACAAAACATGCTGGTTCTTGTAGAATAGCAGAAAGTCACCATGTGTGAAATTACAAAATTTGCAAAATCAACTTTCATATCGTGTGTATGTTAATCGTAATTGTTTGAAGTCCATACCAACCTGCTTCAGATGTTTCTATATTTGTTGGGCGCTTATACATTCCAATTATTCCCTCTTATGGTTCATCTATTTCTCCTTGCAGGAGGAATGGCTGAACAGAGGTGGAAGTTCAAGTCTGGAGTCACTGTTGATCCTGAACTTGCAGCGTTATTGCACAAGGATTTAACTGGAGAGGAAAGACTTGCCGCACATGATTTTTTTCTTGCCTTAGCAGCCTGTAATACTGTCATTCCAATGACTAGTCGTCGATCCTCTACTTGTTCTGATACTGAATTAACTGATGAGGTAGACAGTATTGATTACCAGGGTGAGTCTCCTGATGAGCAAGCTTTGGTCATTGCTGCTGCTGCTTATAGATACACTCTCCTTGAGCGTACATCGGGTCATATTGTTATTGATGTCAATGGCAAGAGGCTTAGGTAAAATTGAACTTTCCTTTTCGCATCCATTTAGGTTCCAAACTCTACTTTTTGTGTTGATAAACTGGAAACTTCTAGCTTTTATTTGTGATTAATTTTCTTTTCTGTTATTTTGGATTTTATATTGAGTTGTTTTGCCTTCATATCAGGTTAGATGTGCTTGGATTGCATGAATTTGACAGTGTGCGGAAAAGGATGTCTGTGGTGATTAGGTTTCCGAATAATTCTGTGAAAGTTCTTGTTAAGGGAGCTGATAATTCAATTTTAAGTATTCTGAGCAGTTCACCTACTAACAGTCACGTAAGAGTAGAACCTGCTAAATTAAAACATGCAACGGAAAACCATTTGACTGGTTACTCGTCAGAAGGCTTACGCACCCTTGTAATTGCTTCAAGGAATCTTACTGATACAGAATTTGAGGAATGGCAGCATAAGTATGAAGCAGCTAGCACTTCATTAACTGAGAGATCAGCAAAGCTACGTCAAGCAGCATCTCTTATTGAATGTCATCTAAATCTCCTTGGGGCTACCGCAATTGAAGATAAATTGCAAGATGGCGTGCCTGAAACTATAGAATCCCTTCGCCAAGCAGGAATCAAAGTTTGGGTTCTCACAGGAGATAAGCAAGAGACTGCAATTTCCATTGGACTCTCGTGCAAGCTCCTGACGTTGGACATGCATCAAATTATAATAAATGGTACTTCAGAGGCTGAGTGCAGGCATCTTCTAGCTGATGCTAAGGAGAAATTTGGAATAAAGTCAGTGGACAACGGCAGCAAAATCTCAGATCCGAAGATAAAAGTTGAGAGAGATTTTCCTGAATTTGTTGGCGACTTAACATCATTAGATGGTATGATACCTGAAAGTGGATCACATGCTTTCAAATATGCATGTGGTGGCGAAGACATGCCAGAATTTGTCGGAGAAAAAGCGGCAGGCTCAGGACATGCACCATTAGCACTCATAATCGATGGAAACAGCCTTGTTTACATTCTAGAGAAAGATCTTGAATCAGAGGCATGAATTATTCTCTACTAAAAATTAATGCATTTGATTTGCAGTTTTCCCATGTAACAATAAGTTTTTTTTCTTTAGTTTAATATTTTTCTTTTCAATCCTGTATAATCATGCATGTAATTCGGAATTTGCTTCTTTTATCTGTTTTACTCTAGCTTATTACTTTCATTTTTAATATTTTTTTGCAGCTTTTTGATTTGGCGACTTCTTGTGAAGTTGTGCTTTGTTGCCGTGTTGCTCCTTTGCAAAAGGCCGGAATAGTTGATCTCGTCAAGAGCAGAACAAATGACATGACCCTTGCTATTGGAGATGGTGAGTTAATTTTCTTTTCTTTTGCCATTTGTCATACGGAAAATGTCAAAGAGTTTTATTTGGATCAATTTCGTTTTAGTTTTTGACATTTAACATCTTCGAAGACCACATATTCTTCATTTTTTACTAGATAATCTGTTATTAGCAGGTGAACTACCTGTGCCATCAATACTTTGCCCGTGATGCCTAACAAGTCCTGTACAACAACAACAACAAAGCCTCTATCCCAAGTGTTTGGGCTCTGCTCTAACAAGTCCTGTAAAATGTCAATTTTTCAATCATTAGCTGAATATAATAATTAATTATGAATTATGATTAGACTTGTGTTCAACAACTTGGAAGCATCTGTTCAAAGTGAGTTTATTATCTGACGACATATATTGAACTGCCTGATAAATGGTAAATACAGTAGACTCATTTTGGGGCTAACAGCAGAAATCATTTTCAAACGCTATTGGTGTTTAAAAATTGAAAAAATTGCATATCAAAGATACGCTGAAGGCATGTTTGACAGTATAAACACAAAAAGGACTTCTGATTCAGTTTAGTAGTATTTTAAGTTTTAAATACAACTGAATAACCTTTAAACATGTAAGAGGCGCGGTAGGCACTCCCATCTCGTACTAGGTCAGATATTATAATGAAATGGACTTCAGATATTGTTTCTTACTTTAGGTCTATGATGTAGGACACTTAACGGACAATTTCATGTAGGATTCGGATAATCACGAGCTACACGTATTATTGACTTCCGCAAAGAAACAATCATATTTTTTAATCCGGAAGGCGAATTCTGACATAGTATATATGTAAATCACCTCTCGACGAGACGGAGCTAACTAGATTGTCAGATTTTTAAAATCTCATCAATAATACCCAGTTTTTGCTGAAATCCGAAAATAATCATCTTTTAGTTTATTTTTAGTAATAAAATTGGAGTCTATTTAGATTAGGAAATAAATTCAATATTAGAGTCAAATTAGATTAGGAAACAAATTTAATTTTGATTCATGATTTGTTTTTTCTATTATAGGGAGTCTTTTTAGGCTAGAATTTGATACTTTCTATTTCTTTATAATTCTAGTTTTATTAGGAGTCTTATTTGTTTTTCTATTTAAGAAGAGTCATGTAACCCCAAAGGAGAATAATAAATTTTCATCAATAAAATTTCTCTTTTAATATTTTCTTCGTGGATTCGAAGATCGTTCTTTATGGATTCAGAGAACACCCCTTGGTGGATTCCGAGGTTATCACTTTCGCGCTGCGTCAGTCTAGAATAAATAGATTTTGTTTATGTTATTTTTGTAAATGTTGTTTTTGTCATGATTTTTGTATCATATTTATATCTCAAAACAGTGCTTTGCAGGCCAAAAACAGTAAGATAGCATAGACATGAAAAATAAACGAGTGAATAATGTGGTTTCTTTCATGCATATTCTGTTCTTGACTAGCATCTTTTCCTCAGGGGCAAACGACGTCTCAATGATCCAAATGGCAGACGTTGGCGTTGGGATATGTGGTCAGGAAGGTCGTCAGGCGGTGATGGCGTCAGATTTTTCTATGGGTCAGTTCCGTTTTTTGAAAAGACTGCTCCTCGTGCATGGCCACTGGAATTACCAACGAATGGGCTATTTGGTGTTATACAATTTCTATCGGAATGCTGTATTTGTACTGATGCTGTTCTGGTAAGCACCTAAACTTTAAACACCTGTATTGTTTGCTGTAATACGAAAATAATATTATTGATAATAATATTATTAGAAAGTAAATAAAATTTTGGTCTGCAGGCTTAATATTTTGTTGAAGGTGCAGAGGAATTGTACATGTAGTTTTCTAAAACTTTTGAAAGTCAGTTGGCACTACAAGGTGTTTTCAGTTGGATTTCTTTGAATACAGATAGTTTTGACCCAATTAATTGGGAACAATGCGATTCTCTATCTGCAATGTAATAGGTCTAACTAGGAAAACCATTAATAAACAATAGATATAACAAGCAAGTAAATCTAGAAGAGATCAAATGGTATATCGAATGCAAAAGAATATCAGATACATGATTGTTCCACCAATAGCCTAGCCTCCAAGTTAATATTTCAAGCTCTTTGTTCCGCTTCTTCCGTTGTTCGAAGTTTAACTTTTTACTTCCTTTTTATCTTCTTCCTCAACTTAAGAGATCTGGATACAGATAACTCCTATAGAACGTTTCATGTTGTTTAATAAAGTGAAAAATAATAAATTTGTGAATGACCAACTTCCAGTAAGGGCCTGTTTGTTTGCACGGAAGTAATTGTGAAGTAGCTGAAGTAAAAGAAGTAAAAGCTACTTCTGCTACTTCCAAGCAAAAAAGTGTGTTTGGTTCTCTGAAAAACTTACTTCCAATACTTCCCTAAATGCTTATGTGGCGCCTACGTGTCATCCTTACTTCCAAAATATTTTTCCAATCCTCAATACTCAGAAGTAGCTCGGAAGTAGTTGAAATGCATATTAATTAGGACATAAATAATTTTTTTATTAATATTTACTTTATTAGTTACTTGTAACAACTTTTCATTGATAAAATTACTTCCTAGTAATATTTTTAAATGTTATCCAAACAAAAAAAGTAAATGAAGAGGAAGAAGTTCTACTTCTGTTACTTCTAAAAATATATGAAACAAACAAAAAAAATGCTATTTCCACTACTTCCTACTTCATAGCTTTGAAAGTTACTTCTATAACTTACTTCTTACTTCTAATACTTCCATTATCCAAACGGGCCCTAAGTGTCAAATATTGAAGTTGTAGGAACGAATCAGAAAATATTTGAAGGGCATGGCACCAAGTGGCATCTGAAATGTGAAAATATAAAAGATGTTGAAACTGAGGGCTCTCTAGCATAGATGAATGAAAGTCTGCAAAGAATAAGTGTTCTTGATTTTGCTAATTTACACTGAAACTGGCCATTCGACAAAGGAAATCCTAGTATAAAGACTAATCAAGATCCTGCAAGAGCACCTTGCTCTAGTCGTTACCCTGTGCCTACAGATTTTCTCCAAGAGGAAATGAGATCCAAAATATATGTGGACTTTTCGTTCATTAACCTTCTCTGTGAATGCCTTGCCAAAGATATGTGAACCTTTCATTCAGTAACCTTCTTTGTCAATGCCTTGGATTTTGCCAAAGATAGCATGTCGTAAAATTACTAACTGGCACATTGTGAACTTCTTAATCTTGACAATTTTAAATCATACTATAGCAGCATGAGGTAACTGTTCTGTTCTGCAGGTACATCTTGTGCACAGCTTTTTCAGCAACTTCTGCTTTGACAGATTGGAGTAGCGTATTCTATTCTCTCATATATACGTCTCTCCCCACGATAGTAGTTGGAATTATGGACAAGGATTTGAGTCACAAGACGCTCCTCCGGTATCCAAAACTTTATGGAGCAGGACATAGACATGAGAGCTACAACATGCGTCTGTTTTGGTTGATAATGATTGATACATTGTGGCAAAGTCTTGTCCTTTTCTGTATACCTTTTTTCACCTACAGAAACAGCACAATCGATATATGGAGTTTGGGCAGTTTATGGACAATTTCAGTGGTTATTCTAGTGAACATTCACTTGGCTATGGATATACAGCGTTGGGTACTTATTACTCATATTGCAACATGGGGTTCCATAGCTGCTACTTATGCATGCATGATCATATTGGACTCCATACCAGCATTCCCCAATTATTGGTTAGTTCTGCTGATGATCCTCCTTTTCTTCTTGTTTGCAAGTTCATTCAGTCCATATTTTTGTTCTTATGTTACTTCTTATGGCAGGACAATATATCATCTGGCAGTTTCAGAGGCCTATTGGCTTACTATTTTACTTACAATAGTTGTAGCATTACTTCCTCGCTTCTTTTACAAAGTGTTCCAGCAAAGGTTTTGGCCTTCAGATATTCAAATAGCAAGAGAAGCAGAAATACTGAAGACATTCCCCAACCTCGACATCAGTTAAGAAGCACATTATCATCTCGAGAGCTCTGTCATGTGCTTTGGCTTGAGATGATCAACAGGCATTTTTCTTCTAGAGTTTGCGGCTGCTAACTCCTTGGTAAGTTACATTGGTTGTTCCTGTACGGTACAACTTTTATTTGCAACTAACACATTGGTTGTTTCTGTATGGTACAACTTTTATTTGCAACTAACACAGGGAAAATAAAAAATTTCAGTTAATTGACTTCTTTTTATTCATTGTGCTCTTATGTACGAGAGGCATTCCACTGGTATCAAGGTTAAGAATTTATTATGGTAGTTGTCTTGTTCCACACGTTTTTCCTCCGAGAATTGAAAATTGAATGAGTAGTTTATATATTATTTATGCAGTTGTATTTTTTTATTTCAATATTTAATATCATCAACCATGTTACTAAATGATCTCTCAGTGCTGCACAGCCATCAGTTTTGTCCTAGGACTGCTCGAAAATATGACATTCTTTTCGACGTCCACTGGATGCACATTCAGAACCAACATCTTCTCTGAACATCAGAAAGTGTTACCTGGACATCGAAAATGAGAGTCAAGTGTCCCCATACATAGAAATATTGATACTGGAACTCCCTAAAAATATTGTGCGGGCATATGATATTCACATATGAAATATGTGCTTAAGTATCAATATTATCAAAGACATAACCTGATATGAGTTTATGATTAATGTTGACCTTTACACAGGCTTTTTCATAAAGTTTGTCCTGGACGAGGTAATGATAATATGACATAGCATGAGGAAAGATCATAAGAGAAAGGATGACACCACAGTGGTGATGGTGTTGAAGCAGTATTGCTAAATTTGTGTTATACTTCAGTTATTGGGGTACAGGTATATGGATTTGAATGATATGCAGTAGGATTTGGGTAGGCTTAATTGGATCTTTCGAAATGGGGTTTTGAATTAAAGAGTGTCCTTAGTTTGAAGTTCCTTTTTCCCCACAGTAGATTTTTGGATTTTAAGTACAACTGCCCAAAAGACATTCTATTTTTCCATAGTGGGTCTGAGCCTATTCTATGGTACAAATATGACCTGATTTTCTACGTAGTTTTCCTGAAATGATTTATTTTTTGAATTTGTTAGTTTCTGATATAAATGATTGTATCCCTATGGTATGGTCTCGAGCACTATATTTGCAGCTCTGTTTAACAAGATACATACTGGTTCCAGTGTTGGATATTAGCCATAAACAAGTCTGTAAATTTTTTTATTTTTTATTTTTTCTATTATAAGCAGCATCGAAAAATGAAGTCTGTAACTTCTTTTGTTACTTAAATATGAATACGTCTATTAGCAAATGGAGAATGTAAATTTTGTCCGTACAATTTCTCTAATAGGAGGAACTTTGAGTGCTGTTAGGGTTCTTGCTTATCTTGGGAGGGGCAGGCCATCAACACATTTAGAAGATATTTTTTCCTCAGAGCAACTTGGAATTATCCGCCGTATTCCCGTATGGAGGTATACATGTGTATATCCCCACCCACCCACACACACACAGATACATATGTATACATGTATAAATATATACATATATACACATGTATAAATACATGTGTAAATCCCCTCCCACCCACATAGACATATACATATATATACATGTATAAATACATGCAAATATACATACATATATAAACTTAGTCTTTTGACAAAGATCGTCATAGTGTTTCTGTAACTATTGTACTTCTATGAAAGAAATTAACTGTAAATCTGCAGCATCTGCTCACCTGTTTGAATTCTGATGGAAAGGAATTCCCTGCTTAAGCTGTTGAGTGTTTTACCCAATGATGAAACATATAGATGCATCTCTGCTAGTTTCTCGTTCTTGAACATGCACGATTGGGGAAAGAATAAACGATTCAGATTGTTTAGTTTGGTGAAGTTCTAGGTAAAACTTTGCTCAATTACATGCAACTTCATGTACTTGGAGTGCTTCTATAACGTTTACTTTGATCAACCGACACTGTTTCTACTGCAGAAAATGCGCTCACTGTTGTTACAATGCTTGTGGGAAACAATATTGCATGTAAATGCCTTTTTAGTTTTTTCTCTCTCTTTTTTTCTCCCTTTTTTTCCTTTTTATTTCCTGACCATTGCATGGAGCTACAGCCAAATTGGCAACCACAGTTGGGTTTGTGCCACATCCTCATTTTGAAACCGAATGATCCATCTTCTTTCAAAAGGAAATCTATGTGCTTGCGTTATTTCTTCAAAAATCTAATTGTGCACATCTATTTCCAATATCAACATATTGCTTGATGTCTCGTGTTGCAGCTGTTATTTTTGCTAGAGGAAACAATGAATTGCTCGAAAGACCAATGACAGCTGGAAAGAGAGGAAACTGACACCTTGGGAAATCTGAACTGCAGAATTGTTTGTTTATGATAATATTGTGTGTACATCTGAATTAATATAAATTTGTGAAAATTTGATGTGGAGATGGGAACTTAGGGACACTTTTAGAGTACATAGTTGTGAGAATATTACACGATTCTTTTCTTTCTTTCTTTTTGTTTTTTTTAGATCTATGCATTCTTTTGTCTGCCTTTTGTATCATTGAGTAAATGTAATTGAATGTTATTCTATAGTGAGGGTTTAGTTCATCCAATATCATTATTGGTGAAGCAACCAATTCAGAGAAAGAAACAGTTGTATTTATATTCAGTTCGGGCAGTAATTGACCTTAAAGTTTGGAGGTTTCAACATGTTCCTTTTAGTTTGCATTTAGTTTAAGAGATATTTACTTTTGGTTATACCTGTTGATAGTTGTCTATTGAAAACTGCACTCATTGTGTCAAGCTATTGAAAACTGCGAAGTATAGTACTGACCCCCAAAACGTTTCATAATTTCATTTTTACATCTCAGATGGTATAATAGCTTACAGAAGATTTTGGGGTTGTCAACGTATCAGTTTAGCTGTCATGAGGTTTTCAACTGCTGATATTTGAAGTTTTCAACTGCTGATATTTGAAGTTTTAAATTTTTGCAGATAGCCGAAGCTGAAGTAAAGGTTGTATCTATTACTCATCCAACATTTTGCTTGCTATTACATTGTGACCTTGTTTTTCTGTATGTTTGTCAATTTGATTGCAATTGTTACATAGTAAAACATGATATTTGATAATAAAATTTTATCACCTCCTTGCCATTGAAAAAATTAACTAAAGTATTCTTTCACAAAAGTAGAAGCGATACAATCTTATATTAATTAAGTATAAATTTTATTTTTTTCTCTGATGTCTTAGTAAATACGAAAGGCAGGCTTGACTAGTATTTAGTTTTACATATTTTATTAGAGAGCAATGTAATCCTATAACATCAACAAGTAAATCTTGTTGTAAGTATCTAAACAAATAAGTTCGAAAATTAGAGTAAGTGACTATTTCAAACTTATGTTGATAAATATTAGCTATTTCACACTAACATAATAGAATAATAGATAGGACTAGTATATTTCAATTTTCACTTAATATCTTCTCTTCTAATCTCTGCTAACTAACTCAAACTAAATAACAATCATATTCACAAAAACCAGAAACTCGAAACGAAAGTCCAAATTGGTTTTTTTGACTGAAAAGCCCAACAAGATGTTAATCTTACTCCAGAGTAATTCTGGCTGAAATTTTTAATTAATGATTTGGTAGGGCATTTAAGAGCCCAACAAAATGTTAATCTCACTCCGAGTAACTCTGGCTGAAATTTTTAATTTATGATTTGGTAGGGGTGCGCCAGGCCCGTGCAGCAGTGCAACGCGCGGGCGACGCTCAAGGACCCCAGCAGCAAGCTACTGTGGGTGGGCCCTCCCCCAACAAAAATTAATTTAATATCATAGTGGGCCGATGGCCCACGTATCAGATATTAAACTGATAAGAACAGATACTACACTTGATCTTAGCCAAAAGGCCGAGAAAGGTATGCTTTGGAACGCAGCCCTGCGACCCAACAGATACTACACTTGATCTTAGCCAAAAGGCCGAGAAAGGTATGCTTTGGAACGCAGCCCTGCGACCCCTTTTATGCCAGCTGCCAGCCCTTCGGGTTGAAACGCAACCGATGTGGGACTAAAAACTGAAGTCTCAGCTGCACGCGGTGCGCACGTGAAGAGAGAAGGTAGACACGGATGATTTTTATAATTAAGTATAGCAGATATAAAAGCCTTAGTTTAAAGTCGAATTTTAAAAGAAGGTTGTATCTTGGCGACCGAACCTCTCAATCATATACCCGGCCTCGTTGCCTTGAAAACAGAGGTTGTTAGGCGGCCTTTGAATTGTGTGGCATATCTAAATATCAAATATCAACAAAAACCTCTTATATTCAATATTTTGGACAGCTTTGCATATGCAGTAATAACTCTTTAACATTGCGCAAAATTGGTTCTGAACTTTCTCCTCCTCCTCCTCAGATTTCCTGTGATTAGTTATGAATTCATTGACGTAGGTTATTCTAAGAATTATCCTTATTTGCAGTGTCGTGTCCTAGTTCTAGTGGTGTTCTAAATAATAAATTCGCGTTAAAGTAGACTAAATTATCACATTGGTATTTTATCCGGTCTTCTTTTAGCAATAGTGCATTTTAAATAGGTAACTCTACATTAAGCTATTTTAATGATTCAAATGTGCAACAAGATCCAAATTGTTATTAGCAACCAATTTTTCCCGTGAGAAGTTGTCATGTGCGTGCAGCTGATAGTGTTTTTTTAGTAGATGATGTGGGGAGGACAGATTGACATGGAGATAGCAGGCGAGACTCTTTTATTTTGGATCTAGATTCAAATCGGGGACAAATTTGGGCGCGATTTGAAAGTAGGGGTTTTTTTTAATAGAGGGGTCTAAATGGTAAGTGCTAAGGGGAAAGCAATGAGAAATTGAGTGCCAGTTTGATATTGCTTTTTTAGGTGATTCTGCTTGTTTTTTTCAAGAAGCAGCCAATAAGTAGGTTTTGGTGAAATTTTTTTGGGCATACTTATTAAAATTGCTTTTGCTTCTAAGAGAGTGACTTGAGGATGCTTTTGAAAGCATCATCTGCTTTTTTAGTTTATATACTATATACTTTTTGTATCTACTTCTTTATTACTAAAGGAGAACAATAAAAAAGATAAGATGAACAGTAAATCCTAAGTGGCCCAATCTAAAGGAGTCACGCCATCATCTCAAAAAATTAAGTAACCCCTTTCTGCCAGCGTGTTCACGTAAAAGAGTTTTAACTGATTCATTTTTATCCCGTAAAAAAAACCGTCTCACCCACGTCTCATCTGCGCTCCCATTCAAGATCTCCTCTCTCTAAAGCCATTCAATTGTCTTCTCTCTTAGCCAAAATATAATCTCTTATCATGCTCCGGTGCTCTTCCATCGCCTCCTCGATCAACAACATTCTTTGATTGGAAATTTTTGATCTTCCCCTTCTACTGCCATTGCCTAGATATTAGAATCTTCTTTGATTGGAATATTCTCTCGATCAACCCATTCAACCATTTTCTCTCTTAGCCAAAAAATCCCTCACCTTTGATTGTCCTCATTACCAACACTCTTCCTCTTTAGACCAACTCAGCATCTCTCTTCCCCCCAATTCAAAAGGGGGCGAAAAAAATCAAATTTTTATCTAAATTCTCAAATCAAAGGCAAGAGATCACAAGAAATCTCCGATCTTTACCTCATGACTCGAGAAATTGTTAGATCTGGTATGGATAACGCTCTATTTTACCATTTTTGGGGGGCAATTTGAGAGAAACTGGCTTAGATCTCGGTTTTATTAACTATCCATTGTTGGATCTTGGTTTATTTTTTATGTTTCCTTTTTTTGGGCTTTTAATGGAATGAATTTGATCATGGAGCTAATAAGTTTTCAAAAAAAATTGAATTTTTTGAAGTTAAGGTGATGTTTTTTTATTTTTATGCGTTATTTGCAAAAAAGTTAACACCCCCCCCCCCACTAAAATTCGTGTTGTAGTTGATCTTAAAAATCGTTTTTTTCTTTTTTGGTGGGTGGGGGTGGATCTTGGTTTTTTTGGTGATTAATGTTGATAGAAACTCATGTAGGAAGACTGCACATTTATGATGGTTTTATGGGCTATTTAACGCTGAACTCAGAGGGTCATTAAATATTAGTAGTTCTATATATAGTAAGCTCCAAGTTTGAATTTTTACTGAAAATCTTAAATTGAAGCTGGGTTCTGAAATAAATTGCGAGGGGGCATTAATGGTTGCTGAAACACTTAAATGTTTGATATGGAAGCTCATTATGTTAAATTTGACCTCAATAAAGAATTTCTTACCCATCTAGTAATTTAGATGGGTTCAATGTTATTTATCCATTTCTTTTGTGGTTTTATAACTCAGAAGATTTATTTTCCTTTTATGCAATTTTTTGCATTATCCCAACTAGCTTGAGCTTAAGATCTTGTATGATCATTCGTCACCTGACTTCTAATTTGATGTTGTGATATTTTGTATATAAATTTGGAAATTTGATCCTGGTCAGTACACGTGTTTGTTGCTAAAAATCCCTTACAGCTAGCTTTGAGAGAACATACATTTCACATAGTTTAGAACATTAGCTTTGAAAATTATGGATAATCTTGCCATGTCATTGGCCCTATGTAATGTCTTGTGCAAATAAAAGATTAATACTTTGTTGATTATGTCACCTTATAGATATTTGTGCAAATAAAAGATTAATACTTTGTTGATTATGTTACCTTATAGATATTTGTAAGGGCCTTTTCCTTTATAGTTTTGTTCATCTTTTTTGAGCTTAATGGTGTCATGCAATTGAGACCTTTATTATTTCTTTTCTGTTTTGAACAAGTTTGTAAATAGTTACAATATTGGGAAAACTAAAAAGGTGGAGTTGAATTATTTTTTGGCTTAATTTAGTGGTAATTATGACCTTTTAAATAGTTTTCGGTTATGTACGTATGATTCTTCTGTTAAATTATTTCAAAATTTTATTCACTCTATATTGCATGAAGGGATTTTAAAAATACCTATATGGATGTGTTTGTAAACTGTTGAAGGGATGTTTAAAATGCATTCTAATTGTAATACAAGTATTAGATTATTTTATTTATAGAATCATCAATATCAAAATGCAAGTCTATGATGTCTATCAAAGCGGGTGAAATTCATTCAAGAAATTAACTTTAGTTTGGGGAAGTATTTATGTAATTATATAAAAAATTAAGGGTATTTTTATTTATGGGGATTATGCAATGATCAAGAAATGTGATGGATTTCAAGTGATTGAGAACAAGGTGAATATTTTCGATTTGGAAAATTTTGCACCTAAACATGTGGAGATCCCAATTAATCATGAAAGAGCTCTATTTTAGGTCTTTCTCTTTTTTCTTTCTTTCTTTTTGTTTTGTTTTGTTTATTTCACAATTGTACTTATAATTTGTACATGTTAGGAGCATAAGGAGCAAAATTGGAGAAGTGATCGTTTGTAATTATGCTAATTGGATTGCTTAGGTTGAACACTGTGAAATCTATATCCTCAAAATAATTTGTTATTTTTCATTTAGATTTTGGACTATTTTTTTATTCTCCATTTGTAGGTATTTTATGAATGAAAATTAATATTTAGGCTTTAACAAAAGGGTGATATATGCAAAAGTGGAAAAATGTGATACATTAAATGTATAAATATTTAATATAGCCATGCTTGGCAAACCAACTATCATCTGCAAGTATTATGAATGAAGAGGAG